AGTCACCACGAAACACGATTACTCGGTCTAACTCGGTCTGCCTTTGGCTCTCTCTGCCCCCTCCGCGCGGTGAATTTCGTTCTTTGATTGCTTCCAGCCCATTCAATCCAGCTGTAATTTCACTTTTATCATTCCTAATCGTTTAGTCGCTGGTGGCTCACTGATTTCCGTTCTTGTTGCTCCAGTTTTTATCGGAAACGCGGGGAATCGAGCCCCGGTGAAGAAATTCGATAGCGATTGAAATTGGAGCCGAACCGAGGAATTGCCACGTGGCACATTTTTATAGAAGCTCGATACAATATTTAATGTAATGTTTCATGTAATGACTGATATAATAAATCATGTGATAATCGATGCAACACAGATATTTATCAAAAATTAAATATGTTTCCCTATTTTTCCATTCTAACAAATGAAAAATTGTGTCAAACATTTCACACACACTAGTTTCACACATTTCACACAATTTCACACATTAGTTTCTTGTCATCACATATTGGAAACGATACAATCGTTTCACTCTAAATGCCCCTATTGGATCAGCGATTTGAGGGATCATTCAATTTCGAGGAGTACTACTGCAACAGCTAATTCATCCCCCACCAGTTTTCAATTTGCTAGCTTCGTAGCGTCAACGGGTCCGGCTGAAATTCCGGCAGTGTCGGCGGCGGAGGTTGTTTAATAAAATAACCTCGTTACGCCGCAGCCGACCTAACAGGGCCGGGGGACGGAGAGGCTGCGGGGGCGCGAGAGGATCCGGCGGAGTGTAAAAGACCGAGTCTCGTGACTGGGGGAGGGCAGGGAGGGCTAATGTAGCAGCGGTGGCTGGCTGCTCGCCTTGTAGACGTGGGGCGCACACCCCGAAAAGAGGGGTAGGTGGGGGAGTGAGGCGCGGGGGACGGAGCACTAATACATAAAGTAGCTTAAAGTAGAAAATTGTGGAAGCGTCGTGATGCCTGGTGATTGCGTTACCTCCGGGGCTTTGATTTAAAATGCAACGAGGGGCCAACCAGCCGGGCGGCCCCCGGGGCTGGAGGAGGAAGCGCGGGGGTGGCTGCCTCGGAAGGATGGATCCTGCCTGGGAGCCATGTTCCTCCTGCAGGAACGTCAGACCCGGTGGGTAGGGGGAGGTGAAAGAGAACGAAGAAGGGCGGAAGGTGGTGGTAGAGCTAGCAGCCTCTGTGTCAGGGGTAGTGACGTGCCGTAGGTGGGGTTTTGGTTCTTCGCTGCAACGCGCCGGATCGACTTCCAAGCTCTTCGACTTCTAGTCTACCTCTTTGTTAGTTCCTTCTCTTTTTTCGCGGAGCTTGCACGCGGCGCGGGTGCAATAATCCTCTCTCCCATCGGGTCAACCTCCCTTTTACCCATCCACTTCCGCGTGATCCCTTTGTCCCCGTGGTTTACACGCGACACCCACGGTTTTAGTCCTTTTTTTAGCTGCTCACGCTTTGCCAACCCTTAAACGCGTTCAGTTGTCCGACACAACTGACTCACAGATTTATTACAACAGCGAACGTACAGACGTAACATCACGTAACTTGTGGTTTAAATTTACTTATAGATAAATGAATTTTATTAAGTATACTTACGTACTAAAAATCTTACATGGAGCTTTCGCATAATCCTTTCCTCGATCCTTCTTGACATCACAGTCGAGTTGAACTTTTGATCAGCATTGTATCCGAGGTTAAAGCCGGGGACACGACAAGGTGTCTTTTTAATAAATTGCCCGGCCGGGTGAAACGCGATTAGGCCCGTAAACGCGGCGCGGCACCGTTTTAAGGGTGAAAATCCCCAACGCTGTGACGCGATGGGGGTCTCGTCGTTTCGGAGTTCTCCGAGTGACGGCGGACAGACGTGACAGCTCGAAAGAGGGAGGACCTCCAGGTTCCAGGGGCGACAGATGATTTAGCGGTGTTTCTCGTGTCACTGATATATCAAATATCTCCCCAAAGAAAGTTGGCAGCTTGAAAAGGAACCATATCTTGTTCCTTTCTTCGGTTTTATTAAGAATTATCATTCGCAGTAATTATGATCATTCTTTACTTAATATTTTATTGAAATATTTTATATTATGTAAAATAATATAGGATAAGAATTGTTGTACNGTAATAAAATTTGGAAAATGTTGATATTTTTTGATAAATACTCATCTGAATTTAATCATCCCTTCGGAGAATGAACGAGAGTAAGATATGACAGTAGCAAGCGCTAAATCTTATTTGTTCACCCTATATAATGGAACTCTCAAGGCGTAGCCTCGTAATCCTGAGAATAATTCAATCTCCGCGAGTAGTATGTCGCGGTTTCATTTTCGGAATGAAGCGTGCGACGTTACGTTTAATCTTGAGCCGACCTAAACGTCATCTTGGAAATCTCGACCCGGAATTAACTAAGATTAGCTTTAGGGTCGATTCGTTATGAACCATTCGCCAAACCGTTTCTTCCTATTATTTCCCTGATACTGTCTGTTTTAATTCCAGTAATTCAGTGTATCACCGTTTAGAAGATTAAAATTTAATTAAGAATACAATCGATAAATGCAGAAATATCTTATAGTTGATTTCAAGTCGAAATTCCATCTATATTTTAAGTCACGTCAGTCCATCTCGAAAACATTTTTTTCTTTAATTCCATCCCTCTAATTCCATGTCACCCCCTTCGAGAACTCAAACTCTGTTCGGGTCCTAACTCCAACAGTTGATCCTCCCTCTTTTCTCAGTGTGTCCAAGTCCCCGAGGATGAAAGGGGATCAAATAATAAGGAAAAAAAAGATATGGATTGACATTACACAAGAATTCGGTGAAAAATCCTGCAGTCATTTCTCTAAGAAAACGGATTTTTCAACTTTCCATCGAGTTTTTTACGTTTTTCATCAAACAGAATTCTATTATATCGTACATTATTGATTTACTAATTATTATACTGTAATTGATGTACAGTATTCACGATTGATGGATCAAATTGAATTTAAATAAGAAGAGCCAATTTTGTGATAAATTCTATAGTATGTATAGATTAGGTACGTTAATCTAAGAAGAAGGAATGAACCTGAAATATCACTTACTATTTCTCTCCATCCGTTTCGCGTGCCTATACATACGCAGGTACATCTCGAGCGTCGCCTTTCCGTTCGCGTTCGCGATGCACCTCGCGGAATTCTTTGAAAAACTACTCTGCGAAATTGGGAGAGGAGAGCAAGCAACGAGAACGAGCGCGGTGGCTTATGAATAATAAATGCGGTTATCGTTTAGTTGATATTTTGAGGGGGAAGGCGCAGGCGGAGGGGGAACGAAAACCGGGAGGATCAAAGCGGCGCGGCGCGGTTCCTTCGAGTAGGGTGCCTCGAAGGGTGTTGCTCCTACATTTTTATACCGTATCGCTGCTGGCATCTGGATACCTAGACGCAATCGTTAGACCTGCGCCACGTTGACTCACAAACTGCAATTTTATCAAACTATTTACATTCAGCGATTAAAGACAATCTCGAAAATTTTTTTTTCAAAATTTCGAAAACTTCTTCAAATGAAAATTATAGGTATTCACGTATAAAATCATTTTTCCTCTCAAATTATTATTATTTATATAATTATAGGAACCATATTCATTTAATTATTATAAGTGAATGTATTTCAGTCAAGCATTTAAGAACTGGGATGACGATTTCTAAATCGAAGGGTGTTCAATACGTGTGAGCTCGAAGCATTGTCTCTGCGTTTCCGGTAGCTCTAGCCAGCGAGTTAAGCGGAATCGAATCGAATGCCTGGAGGGTGCGAGGGTAATAGCTGGTCCGCTGCTCGGGGAACCGTAATGCCATAATAGAATAGCGATGTTAGTAATAGTATCTATCGCGTTGCACACCGGCCGATTGACCAATTCGCGTGGATGGATAGATATAGACGCGGAGGGATACTCAATTTGCATCGCAATCGCATCGGAATTCCTAAAGGCGCGTATGCCTCGCAAACAGGAATTGCTTTCTCTCGAAAACGAATCTTTACTCGCTGCTTCCTACTTCACGTGCAGACCGCAGAGTTTTATTCAAAATGAAACGTTTCTCATATGAATTTACAAAATCTGGTTCATACTCTTTTTTATTATTTAAGTATTACGACGTGGCATGCAGCATTCGATATTTCACATATCTTTATATTCCCTGCATATTCAATAAATGCATAAAATTCGTAGTTCATTTATGAGAAGATTTTACTATCCTCCTCTTAGTCAAATATAATACATAGTATGTAATAATGTTACAGACGAATGAAGTGTACGAAGCTTCAATGTCCAAGAAAATATATAAAACAATTGTCCTCCTACTTCTCTTTTTAAGGAGTCGAACTCAATATCTAATACGACTGCCTTTTGCCAGAGGTAGTATAATATTACAGAGATTCTTATTAGCAAAAAGCTGTAAAATGTTCCAAGTGGAAATCCAAAGATTTGTCTATTTAGAAATTATGACAACAGATCTTTTCATGGAAAATTGTGTAGGAAATTAAAAGACAAGCTAGCAGTAGTATTATACCGGCTAGAGTCAGCCATCCCGTCGGTAAAACCGAACCCGTTCCCAGCAATCACCGCCCCGGGAGAACCGTGGAAACCGCGGAAACCGCTTAACTCGATTATTGTTTCCCGGCATCATCGTTACCGTTTATTAGCCGCTCCATCGGTCGGCTAATCGAAAGGATAAACCTTTTTCGGATCGATTTCTCGAATCTTTTCTATCTCCTTTCAATATCATTTGTTTAAACGAAATCTTGCATTTTATACGACATTCGAATCGCTATATCTAAATTGCTAAAGGAGTTTTCGATCGCATTTGTAGGAAACAATCGTGTATGTATCAGAAAGCTGCGCTTAAACTTTCGGGGACAGTCTGCTGACATACAGAATTATTCCCGAAAATACAGAACAAATGATCACCGTACTTATAAATACTAAATACTGATAATATTTGATCACGAATTTCTAAAAGAAATATAAATACGTGTACTCACATTAAAAGACCACAATCGTAGCTATCCGGGATGATTCTTGACAATTGACACAAGCAATTCATCACTAACTGTCATTATAAACAATCGCGTCGTAAGATGCTTATACATATTTTGATTTTTACCGGATGGATCTTAATAGAACACTTAAATTGAAACTCACTTTGAACGACACAAAGGAAAATTCTAGACTAAACACAAGCACCGATTTAACTAAATGAAACACGACTCAAATTAAAGCTAGAACTTCAAGAAATATAGATAGACCATTCACAAATGAAAACTGGGACGGATAAGACAATGAATCATTTTCACTTTTCGCGGTTTCCCTTTGTTTCCATGAATTGGTGAGCCTGCGTACTAGATATTCCGCAACTCGACGCATAGACAATATATTTTAAGGAGGAATGTCTTTATAATTATCTAAAGAATTAATTTACATTTCTGAGGTCTGTCGCTTTAATTTAAGAGAATTAAAATTGCTGCAGTAAAAATGTAAATATTAGGATTTAAGATTGATGATCAAGATGTCACTAGAGTGAAGTCACAGTCACATGACAGCCTCCCATGTAGTGGCTATAGAAAAAATATTTTAAAGGGCAACGATTTTATCGTTTTCTAAATGGTCTATCCATCTTCCTGGATGCTCTAGCTTTAATTTGAGTCGTATTTCGTCAAAATCTGTGCAGTGGAACTTAAGATTTTTGTTCGTGTCAACTAAAGGCGACCGTGAGCCAATACAAATGGTTGTTGTTATCAAGGAGTGACAAGTACTCATCTTGCATCGATACGATTTCGTGACATAACTTACGAAAAAGATCAACACTTGATCATTTTACAGTAAGTAGAGATTTGAATTTATGTAAGCAACAATATAAACGTCTACAGTGTATATAACATAGAGAATATACATCAACATATCGGCTACAGAATATTCTCTATTTGCAAAGTAGAAAGGAATCAGTATTATTAAGCCAGGTTCTTTTTTTAAATTCAGATTAATTATCAACGTCTGATTTTAATCTACTCTTCATTTATCGTCTTTATTGTTCAGAAAAGAATAAGTCTAATACACTGTAAACAACACTTTTGAGGTTAGGTTATCGTAATACGATCTACATCGAAGTATCATTTCAACATTTAGACAGATGCCAAGTGTTAAAGATGAATCAGAACCTGAAGGTGAAGAAATGTCTCACGATAGCAACGAAAGTAATCAAAGCTCAGTGTCATGTGATAGCAGTGCGGAACACAGTGACAGCGATGACTCGTCTGAGATGGATGAGGATGAGTGCGAGAGAAGACGAAATGAGTGCATGGAAAACTTAGTCGACCTAGAGAGACAGTTCACTCTTCTCAAGGAACAGTAAGTGGATCTTTTTCTTCCAAATGTAACAGATATTTACCTGTCTTGAATATCAGGTTATACCGTGAGAGAATCACTCAAGTGGATACTAAATTGGGCGAGGTTCGAGTCGGAAAGTCAGAAGAATATCTGGTACCATTGGAACGATTGAAGGAAAACATGAAAACCAAAACAGAAGTAGCTGGAATATTGAAACAATACAGACTACAAAATATACAGAATAAGTTTCTAGCAGAGGAGCAGGCTGCTTTACAGAATTTCGAGAGCGAGAAGGAGTTGATATGGGACTGTATTCATAACGATTTGCAAGAGAAAATACGTAGATTAGAAGAAGATAGGAATAATGTCGACATCCACGCTGATTTATGGTTGAATTCGAATGGTAGAAGGCGCAGGAATCATACCGAGAGAAGGAGAGCCGTTTCAGTCGCTGGACCTTACATCGTTTATATGTTAAACGATGCGGATATCCTCGAGGATTGGGCGCTGATCAAGAAAAGTCTAAGCAGTCGGAAAACAGAAATAATTTAATACTCTAGGCTAGGTAGATTCCAAGACGACTGCAATGACGTTAATGTATCGCCCTTTTATGAATGTAAAATACTTGCGAGAAGTATTAGAGCGATCATTACCTTCATTTAGCACTTTCTATACGTTTATAATGCATATATAGGGTGCCTTCGGTAAAATTTTGATCTCTCAAATTGTTTTAGTTAACGAATCATGAAAATATTTAACAACAGCATGTCCATATATTTCCGTAGGAAATTCGTAACTGATTATCCTTAGTTATAAAGATAATTCAATGTGAAACGAAATGATTACTTAAAACAACATGAAAGTAACATAGATTTCGTCAAATAGAATTTGATGTGTCTTCTCTATTTAAAATGCAATTCAAAATTTTGTTTATATATTCGGGGAGAGGATATTATGTTTAAACTTTTATCGACGGTGTGTCGTTCTACGTGTACAAATTGTATCATAATCATTGAATACATTTCATATTTTTGAATAAACTTACAACGGCAATAATGTTGTCTATAAAATTCCTAGCGAATTCCATACACAACATTATACATACAAAAGTTAATATATTTGTATAATATATTTGTATTTTTCCAAATAAATTTTATACTTTTGATTGCTAGTCGTTTCGAAGATTCGCGCGCTCGCTGGTTCGGATATGATTAACGCCAGAGCCATAAATATGTACTCGACTGCGCGTGCTTTGAGGTAAGACTGGAACTGAACCTATCAGATCCCTTCAAAATTTAGCTTTGGCAGGACCATCGAATTTCCTCTCTGGTTTCACGAGGAATTTTGTGTTTTTGTAAAAGAAGTTCCTCTTTCACTTTGATCTAACCTTCTTTTTTAACTCATAATTGTAAAATATTCGTATAAATATTATTCGCGGTAGCAACCGGCGGCTGGCGGGCAGTGGTGATTGGTGGTGATGAATTGAAACATTATAGCTTTGGTTAGCAGTCCTCAAAGGTTACACGCTTCATATTTTAGTCTTTCGTCTAATCACGCCTAGCCAGCGGACATATTACAATTACGTTTACGAGCACGTGAAGTAAGTGTAAGCTTCTTAATTGAGGTAAAATTATTACACTGTTTTTGCATTAAATATCTCCTTACAATACTTTGATTAAAACCTGGTTCGACGAACTTCATTGAAATGGATCTCGAATTTTAATTTACACTTTAATCGGATATCCTATATCTGTTTTAATTCAGATTTTTTATATAATTTTAGTATGTTACCAATTATAAATGATATATGTGTAATTCATAATTCATCACAATAATTTTATTATGTATATTTTCTATCGAGGGAGTAGCGTCCCGAATGCAAGTGACATATATATTTGATGTATTATACATTTTATACTTGAATTAAAGGATAAAAAATTAGAAAATGTAGTTTCTTTACTCGAACGTTTCTTCGCGTCCCTAATTAAGTGCATAGTATGACGACGCTTATTCATGGACCTATATTACATGGATCGTTGGATTATCTTTTTCACATTTTTATCGCTTCTTTAAACTGCTAGCGAGGTCTATTCTCACGTGTTTATGAGTCGCTACCGCGTCCCTCAATGATAGAAGACGCAGGGATCATATCGAAAAAAGAGTTTTGTATTAAAAGTAAAACTTTGGTTCCTCGCAGATAATAATTGAAATCTTAATAATCACTTATTACGAATTAATAATATCGTGCATTTTAATCATATAATTATATTTCATTTGTAACAAGAACGCGCCACGTGTTGTATCCCTTGTTTTGTCGTGATCGCGTACATATTGTCCAGGACATATTTTAAGTAAAAAGTACGCGTTATGTATATTTTCATGCAATTCATATTCTCTGTGGATTATTTTAGATAGAAATGAATAGATGTAAAATAAATAGTATTTCTTGAAAGTTCTTGAATAACGTAATTCGTAAACATTCTGATGTACTTCCATTGACCTCTCAATGTCTTCTACTACATATTTGCTTCAGATAATATTTTATTGTTATACTTAGCTTATTTTTTAATTCTACTTCATTTGATGCCTTCTGGACGCTGTGCGTAATATCTGTTTAGAATAAGAAATTCGTGTATTTTTCCACAGTATTTTTAACCCACTATGGAAGAGAAGAAACCAGGGTTTGGCAGGGGAAACCTCCTGAAATTTCTGCAGGAGAAAAAGGAATCTGAAAGTCAATTAGTTGCACAGTCTTCATTGGCTAGGGAACAGAGTACAGCACAATCTAATGTCCCTTCACCAGTAGAAGTTCCAACGACTTCTGTAAAATCACTTGGGAGAGGTAGCATATTGAAAACATTACAATCCCTCCAAACTGGAACAACAGGACCAACAGGACCAACGCCAATCCCAGTACTAAAACCGGTACAACCAGTACCATTAGCAAAACCTGCAACAGCACAACCACACATATCAGCAGCACCCACAGTTTCTTCACCACCTGTAAGAGCACAAGGCCGAGGATCTTTACTAAGCGCATTACAATCTGTAAGGTACATTTCAACTAAATGAAAAAGAAACTGAATATTCCTGTGTACAATGTTATATTATACAACGTTTTCAAGAAATATTCTTGGACGTTTGAACGATAATAGAAAACATGCATTTACAGTGCACAACCTGCCAGTACTCCAGAGCCAGCTGCACAACCTTCGAACGTCCATGGGTCATCATACGATCCTTCAGGAGTGCTAGGTCCATTATCAGATATCACGTTACACGAAACAACTAAGACTATTTCTAAACAAGGTTCGGGTGGAAAAGAGTAAGTCTTTGTACATTCACTCACATAAGATCGTTATAATTATTAGATTAAGGATTTTATGAATTTATTAAAATCTCGTACGTCCAGAAAATATAAAACGTAAAATGCACATTATTATTTCTGAAGGGTAAAAAATTAGATTCCGTTTCTTAAATTAACATCACAAATATTTTGTTCTGCACTGAAAAAACTCAGTCTATAAATATCTGTTCCAGTATATCCCTAAGTGCGAACTATATAAACGTAAAGGTGGACCCGGAGAAGGGTCTCTACAGTTACGAAGTCAAATACAATCCTGAGATCGATTCTACTGCGTTCCGCGCCAAACTGATAAATCAGCATTTACAGAAGATAGGAACGACCAAGTGTTTCGATGGGACAATGCTGTATCTACCACATCGATTACCACAGAACGTAAGGCAGACGTGTAAATGGAAAACCTACATGGATTAATGCGAACGATTTTCAGAATACAATTCTAGAGTCTGTGCACCCACTGGATAATTCTACCATTAAGTTAACGTTGATTTACAAAAAGAAGCAAAACTTGACTGAAAATATACCATTTTTTAACATTCTGCTCGGCCGAGTCATGCGGGCCCTTAATTTGGTTCGCATCGGTCAACACAATTTCAACCCGAAAGGTATTCACGCGATCCCACAACATAAATTGGAAGTGTGGCCTGGGTACGTGACGACTATTAACGAGTTTGATGGAGGATTAAAATTATGCATAGACGCTCGGCATCGAGTGATGCGGACAGAGACAGTCCGTGAAATCATGTAAGAGACACACATATTATATCTCATTATACGACTGTGTGCTACTTATGAAATCTAATTCATGAAATATGGCGATGCAGGATGAAATTCAGTCAGAGAGGAAATTTTAAAGAGATGATCGTAAAGGAGCTGATTGGCTTGTCAGTATTTACGAGATACAATAACAGAACATATCGCGTGGACGACATTGACTGGAACAAGAATCCAATGCATGTATTCGATAAAGGAAACGAGAAAATCACGTTAGTGGACTACTATAAGTACCACTGGAGCCTGGATATACAGGATAAGAAGCAACCGTTGCTAGTTCATTGCGCTAAGACAAAAACGAGCACCGGCGAGGTGAGTCGAATAAGGACTCTGTTAAATAAACGTGTAACTGCCTTTTTTATTATACAAATTTTAAATCCAGACACAAGAACAATTGATACTGCTGGTTCCGGAATTATGCTATATCGCTAGTCTCAGTGACAGCATTCGTGCAGACTACAAAATAATGAAAGATATCGACTCAGTGACTAAAATGTCACCCGAGGCTCGGCGAAATTGCTTTAGGCATTTCGTACAGCAAGTTAACAGCAACGATATAGCGCGGGATATATTGGGCGCTTGGGGCTTGAGCCTGGAACCCGATGTAGTTGATTTCAACGCTCGGGTGTATGAAAATGTAGAAATTTTATTTGGCAATAAAGTGAAGTTCACGCCTCCGGAGCACAAGCCTGCGGAGTGGAGTGCAGCGGCGTGTAGAAATCCTCCATCGAGAACTGTGGGTACCTTTACACCTTAGCGATGGATATTATTTAATAATAATAATAATAATAATATTTCTAGCCGGAGTTGAAGCGTTGGTATATAATATACTGCCAGAAGGATGCTAAAGTTACGGAAGAGTTTATTACCATTTTTGAAAGAGTAACAAAGGCTATAGGTATGAACATATCGCGACCCCAGATTATTAGCTTAAGGGACGACAGGACAGAATCATTTGTGCATGCTTTGCGAAGTAGCATAGAGAAGACGGTTGATTTAGTGGTGATTGTATTTCCCAGTAACAGAACTGACAGATACTCCGCAGTGAAAAAGTAACGTATCTCGTTCCTCTAAAAACTTGTCATATTACGAAAATAAGGATCTTTTGAAATACAGGGTGTGCTGTGTAGAGAAGCCGATAGCTTCTCAAGTGATTATATCGAGAACTATATCGCGCGCCGATAAGTTAAAAAGTATTGCAGAAAAGATTGCTTTGCAAATTATCTGTAAATTGGGCGGAGCCCTTTGGGCAGTTCATATACCGATGGTAATTAAACAGTGTTCACAGCTAACAATGAAAAATCTTATTAAAATTTATCAGTCTTTACAGTTAACAATAAAAAATCTTATTGCATCTAGCATAATTGCATGATATGCGGGATAGACGTGTACCATTCTGGTACCGGCCAATTTAACAAAGGAAGTGTCGCTGGTTTCGTGGCCAGTATGGATAAAATGTTAACGACTTGGCATAGTAAGGTTTACATGCAGGGCAAACACCAGGAAGTGGTAGACATGCTGCAGCTCTGTTTGGCTTCGTCAGTGCGCGCGTATCAAAAAGTAATTATTCACCTAATAGTTACACGTGATACATAAAATACCTTGAAATTTATCATATATACATCTTGTTATGAATTTCAGCATAATAATTGTTTTCCAAATCGGGTCATAGTTTATCGTGACGGGGTTGGCGAAGGACAGTTGGACACTGTCGCTAAATACGAAGTAAAGCAAATGCAAGCTGCTCTGAATAACCTAATAAAAGATTTTCAAGTGGAGTTAGTTGTAATAGTAGTCCACAAGCGAATCAACACCCGAGTGTTCCAGCGTATCGTAAGTTTCGAACTAACGACATAATTGAGATCGTCGACTTATATGTCCTGGTCTAACTGTTTAACTATTTAACAGGGTTCGAAACTATGCAATCCTCCGCCAGGAACCGTTGTAGACACATACATAACGAGATCGCACCTGTACGATTTCTTTTTAGTCTCACAGAACATACGCCAGGGTACGGTATCGCCTACACATTATATCGTTGTTCACGATAGTAAAGGCATGCTCCCTGAGCATATTCAGCGACTCACCTATAAGCACTTTGCGAAGTAGCATAGAGAAGACGGTTGATTTAGTGGTGATTGTATTTCCCAGTAACAGAACTGACAGATACTCCGCAGTGAAAAAGTAACGTATCTCGTTCCTCTAAAAACTTGTCATATTACGAAAATAAGGATCTTTTGAAATACAGGGTGTGCTGTGTAGAGAAGCCGATAGCTTCTCAAGTGATTATATCGAGAACTATATCGCGCGCCGATAAGTTAAAAAGTATTGCAGAAAAGATTGCTTTGCAAATTATCTGTAAATTGGGCGGAGCCCTTTGGGCAGTTCATATACCGATGGTAATTAAACAGTGTTCACAGCTAACAATGAAAAATCTTATTAAAATTTATCAGTCTTTACAGTTAACAATAAAAAATCTTATTGCATCTAGCATAATTGCATGATATGCGGGATAGACGTGTACCATTCTGGTACCGGCCAATTTAACAAAGGAAGTGTCGCTGGTTTCGTGGCCAGTATGGATAAAATGTTAACGACTTGGCATAGTAAGGTTTACATGCAGGGCAAACACCAGGAAGTGGTAGACATGCTGCAGCTCTGTTTGGCTTCGTCAGTGCGCGCGTATCAAAAAGTAATTATTCACCTAATAGTTACACGTGATACATAAAATACCTTGAAATTTATCATATATACATCTTGTTATGAATTTCAGCATAATAATTGTTTTCCAAATCGGGTCATAGTTTATCGTGACGGGGTTGGCGAAGGACAGTTGGACACTGTCGCTAAATACGAAGTAAAGCAAATGCAAGCTGCTCTGAATAACCTAATAAAAGATTTTCAAGTGGAGTTAGTTGTAATAGTAGTCCACAAGCGAATCAACACCCGAGTGTTCCAGCGTATCGTAAGTTTCGAACTAACGACATAATTGAGATCGTCGACTTATATGTCCTGGTCTAACTGTTTAACTATTTAACAGGGTTCGAAACTATGCAATCCTCCGCCAGGAACCGTTGTAGACACATACATAACGAGATCGCACCTGTACGATTTCTTTTTAGTCTCACAGAACATACGCCAGGGTACGGTATCGCCTACACATTATATCGTTGTTCACGATAGTAAAGGCATGCTCCCTGAGCATATTCAGCGACTCACCTATAAGCTTTGCCACTTGTACTACAACTGGCCGGGTACAATAAAAGTGCCAGCTCCCTGCCAGTACGCGCATAAGCTCGTCTCGCTTGTCGGGCAAAATATACAATTAGAGCCGGATCAGTCACTCAACGATACGTTGTTTTACTTATAACGCTATTTTTACCTGCCACTGATTCATCTTCCAAGAAAGTTGTGAACCTAATTGAAGTCGTCTGAATACCAGTATCTAACAAACCAAAGATAGACTGAATATTGTCTATACATTGTAACCATGTATAATTGACCAGATGCATCAGACCAGAATTTTAAAGGTATCACTAGAATCATTTTGTTTTTGTTCCTTATTAATAGAATATATTTTTTTTTACATAATGAAATATCAGTATTAAGTTGATGATTACTATGATACCTGTAAAGGCTGTGGATTTTATGCATTTATAAAGCTATAGTACATGTATAAACACACCGATAGCAAAGAGGAGTTCCTATTTAGATTTTATTTCCTGCGATTGGATGTTACTACTTTATTTTGCACTAAACTCTGCATTATATGTAATATTTTTATAATTATACAGGTATGAATATCATCTTGTAAATGTGATCTCAGTTATATACTAGCCATGTACAAGACCAGAAAATTAAATATAATAAGATTTTTGTAAGTTTTACGTTTAAAGACAAACGTACAAATAAATGCTTATGCTATTTTTATTACGAAATCAATAATCATGGTTATTCATTTTGTTCACTAATATTCCCTTTCGAACAATTCATCGAATAACCATCTGTCATGAAAAAATGACAGAGCACGAACTCTGGACCCTATTTGTTCATATCCAGAACGTTCGTCTCCATTATGTCACAGTGGTACGGTTTATCTTTACCCCTTTCATTCTCGAGTTACTCATCCACTATGTTTTCTGCGGCACTACGTCCGATTAGCGATGGAAGTATTACTTGGAACGCGACTCTGTCGATGAGGATCCGATACTCGAAGCCGAAGCGAAATGCGCCGCGTATTCCATCCGTAGTTGTCCACCTTGACTCGAAAGTACTCGCACGTATCTATATGTGTTCGCTTTATATTACAATCGATCTATATAGCACGAGACATTAAAGGAAGCAATGGCGTAACAAAATTTATAATCCCAGTTATTCGTCGATACGTTCTGTAACTGATAAATTGTTACGACGAGTACATCGTGCAAAAGTATTAACTTTTAATTGTAAATAAGGAAGAATTTTCGTAGTTAATCCAAACGTCATAAAGGATTAACGACCTCATTGCAAGGTAGCAGGTCGTCATGGAGATAAATGACTTCACTGGGAATCAGCTAGCGATCATCGTCGAGGATAAAGTGAGTTTGATCAACCACCGTTTCTCGGAGAGAGCGGAACGCGATGTGCCTTCAGAATCGGAAGTCCGAAAGGATATTCGGCAACCGCCGCAATGCGGTGTTTAGGTTTAGGACGGAGTTGTTACGCCACTGGTCGCGAGGGGGGACGCCGTGTGTAAGTACTTAAATACGTATGCATGTACGTGTAGGCGCGTACGCGTGTATTTACGGTCGTGGCGTATCGCGTATCGAGTCGCCGTCGCCGCCGCCGCGCCGCCATTCGAGCGGTTTTAGCGCCTGCGTACATCTTGTTTACAACTGCGGAGAGCTTATACCATACACATGACCTTTACAAGATGGACATGAGCGCCTATTTAGCTGTCTAGGCGTGCGACGACGGTCGGGAAAACAGAAGTGTTTTCGCGGAAATACGCGGCCGCGCGTTCGTCGTCGGGTTTCTCGTTTTTCGCGTCCGCCGCGGAAGCAAAGGCGGAGAGGTGAAGACGGTCCGCGTGTACGTATACGTCGTGGTGATCTGTTAACTGCGTTATCGGGAGAAGAGAAAGAAGAAAGAACCAAGTTCGCGATTAAACGGATGAGTGACGCGGTATTTGTCGTACGGCACACGCGGCCCGCGAACCAAACGAGAGAGTAGAGGGATGTTGGATAGAAGGAGAGCCAAATATATTTTTCACCCCGGGATGCGATCGACGTGAACGGATCGAGGGTCAGCGTGCGGGGACACCTCGTGCACGCTGCCACGGTGTTGTTAACCGCCCCATGCGCGTCGGTGAACCTTCGTCATCGTGTTTCCGCGAAGTAGAATACACGCATACACGCGCGCATACATACGTGGAAGAAAAGAAAGGAAGGAAGGAGAAGGGGTGTGGGAAGAGGAGAACGCGTTCTCTCACATCGACCTGGAATGTTGTTTTCATGTGCCTACCACCTATTGCGCATGAAAAAATCGTTCCGCCCTTGACAATAGCCTATTTAGACGGAAACCAGGCCGCGTTCGTAAAGCGCTTTCGCCAACGGTGATAACGGGGGTTCAACCACCCACCTGCAACGCGTCCCTCTCTTTTTTTCCTCGACGTTACATTTCCTCCTGGCCGTACCTACTCGTGAACGAGCGGGAGCGCGCGCGCGTTCTCGCTCGCCTGTACGTGCGTGTGCGATACACGTGAACGTCCGCTGCGCGCGTGTGGTCGCCGTCGTATACACACGAACGCGTTACTCCAGTGTGTAAGTGCATACCCGCCAACCATTGTGGACCACGCAGTAAATCGTATTATTCAACGTTACGCGATAAACAGGTGCACGAGCCTCGTCTCCGATGTTTTCGAACTTCCTCGGAGTCTGGTAACAAACCTGATCGTGAATGGGAACCTTACGATGTTACCCTCGATATTCGGGAGTGCGTGCGATTCAAAGTAATTGGTTAACCACGCGATTCAGGGCGGACGAAGTTTACGATAACTGCGTGACAGGTGGAATTCGGGAGGAAGACCGCCTTCGTGGCAAGTTAAATATCTGCACTCGACGGATTCTTCATGGGAATTAATGGAGACGCGAGTGTTTATCCTTTCCTGGCTTTCTAACCTCGGAGCAACGTGGGTGATCGATGACACGGATTCTTTGTTAGCGTAGAAGGACCTTCGAGAAAGATTGGCACCGAAAACCACGGGATGAGCTAATCGTTTTTGGAACGATGTTTCCTTGAAACGATATACGAGGAAAGCCGGCGCCGTGGGATTTCCCAGTTTTCCAGTTTCGAAGCAACGCGGTTGATCGATGACACAGATTCTCTCCATGCGACGCCTTTGACTCCGTCGTGGGGGTAGCGTGTCATTGCTTATTTACCCCCGACACGTGGTTCGGCCGTCATCAACGATATCGACGTCCACCGATTCACAATAATCTTCGATTCGAATTCAACTTGGAACGCGGGATGGAACGGAACGGCCGTTGAAATAATCGAGGGGAATGGGAAGGCGAAACAATGAACTATCGCGGCAACGTGTTCGCGTACTGCGCGTCGCGAATTGATCGTTTTTTGTTGAGAAGATGAATTGAAATGTCGAGTGAAACCGCGCACACCCGAATTCGAAAACGTTGCATTACGAGCTGTAATCGGACGGGTATCATGTGATTGTAACTGATATCACAAGATTCGACTATGTCTTCCGGCAGGGGTTTGGTCTCCCCATCGGGAGGTCCCGTTGTCTTGTGCGGTCACGTGAAGAAACTGAAAACGCAGAAGAAAAAATTCTTCGTTCTGCGCGGTGAGGCGCCCGGGTTCCCCGCGTGCCTCGAGTACTACGACAGTAAGAAGAAGTACGAGAACAAGCAGCCGCCGAAACGGAGCATACTGCTCGACAGTTGTTTCAACATCAACAAACGCGTCGACACCAAGCACAAGCACGTTATCGCGCTGTACACAAAGGACGAGTGTTTCTGCTTGATTCTCGAGAGCGAGAAGGAATTGGACGAATGGCTGAAGGCGATGCTTTTGCTCCAGAGCGGGGACGTGGCCGACGGGGAGCAACCTCGACCTATTTTCGGTAATTCATCGGTTTTAATTAGAATTTTAATTTTCAGAATATCGTTCGATGTTGTCGTGGATCGCGAACTTCATACGTGGATTTGTTTACTCGCCGCTCAGGCTCATGGTCAACAGTTTTTTAATCAAGATTATAATAGAACTTGGAATTTTTCCAATTCTTTTTTCATTTATTTATTTCAGAACACGTGTGGCAGGTCACGATGCAAAAGAAGGGATTGGGAGAACGGAGGAACATTCACGGACCCTATCGTCTATGTTTAACCGATCGTACGCTGAGCCTAGTAAAAATTGGTGCGAAGGATAATTCAGATTCCACAGAATTTCCTGTAAGCCTCTTTTACAGTGGACAGTCCACAAGAATCTCAGTTTGTTTATCTAACGCATTATTCTTCCGCAGCTAATTTGCATCAGACGATGTGGGTACATGGATCGGATTTTCTACATGGAGGTTGGCCGTTCCGCGGTAACCGGCGGCGGCGAACTCTGGATGGAGGCGGAGGACAACAACATCGCACACAACATGCACGCAGCTATAATGAACGCCATGAGCAACTCCAGCAGCAATAGCAACAAGGATGACGTAGGACCTCGTCAGAGAATGCGAAGTTCGTCCGCTACCGAGGCCAGCAAGCCGATCTTCGTTCTCCAGCATCGTCATGCTGGACAAAAATTCCATAATTCGCCATTGGGTGAGTCTTGACTCTTTGAACTAGATAGACGATTGGCCCGCATTCGACTATAATATCACTTGTGATTTATCACCAAGATGTACATATATACATGTACAGAGTGAGTCAAGTGCTTCATATAGAAACCTGAAAAGTTTATATGACTCACTCTGGTCTAGTAATGTAAATAATACTTTGATTAATGATATAATATCACATTATTATTCCGAAACACTCTTGTACAAAGGTCACTTCACGCACATAATAATAATCTAAAGCCCGTGTGTAAGTTATATTGTACACGAAACTTCTGCCTTGTTTTCTTCTTACACCAATCACAATTGCACTTGTTATACGCCTTTCACAAAGCGCGAACGACGCGTAAAAAAACAATTGAAAAGAAGCTCAGCTTATTTGACGATTAACAATTCGTGTATATGGGTTGCTGGTGAAATTCCAGAGGAGCACAGGACGCAAGAGGAGCGGGTGGATCCAGTACGGGAACGGGAAGAGCAGTCTAATCAGACTCACAGTACCTCTTCTTCCGTTACGGCCACGGGTCTGTTTTCTGTTGTAATTGTAGTTGTATGCTTATTATTTCTCATACGCGCACGGGCATCGAAGGGCTGCTCGAAACGGGTTAGATTACCTAGCCCGGTCACGAGAATACGCTATATCTGTTGTCTTTGGCTAAGTCCGAAACGTTTGGAATTCGCGTCGCGTAGCATCGAGAAAATGGGAAATACGGAAAAGTGACAGTGAGAGCTGTGTGGTTTGCAGCTGCTGGTGGTACCAGGTCTGGGACTGCTGGAATGATTGCCTCGACTACTACTAATAACAACTGTGCCACTACCACTAGACGTCGTCATTCGGTAGCGAGTCATCCCCATTCCGTCAATAATTCCCAAACCGTTCACAACGTCACGACAACGATAAGCACAAGTACAACAGCCACCACCACCACCACTAGCACCACTATTACCGTCACAACGACCGCTACCGTGACCACCACCACAACCACAACCGCGACAATATCCCATCAGAGAACCTTGTCGCTGCCCTTAGCTGCCGTTCTTATCAATCAAATACAGTCATCTAAACGATCGGTTTTACGCTGTATGTATTTTTCGTTCGTCATACCGAGATAACAAGCAAGAGATATTATCTTTGTCATCTCAGTGTCTTTACCTTTACCTTTCTGCCTCGTTGTTCTCTGGGTTTCCTCTATATGGGAGAGTTCGAAATGATATTATCCTTGCGCTGAAACCATCGCGTTGCCGTGGATATGCAGTGTTTTATTCTACTCGCATGCGATCAACTTGCACGATCATATTTCGTAAAAACGAACAAGTCATTTCATCTTAACGATACTACACTCTCTTAAGTTTCACCTTCCGTCATCGAATGCGATATCTTTCAACGATTGCCCCATTGATTTTCTTTAATTTCCTTTAACACTCGCATCGATATATGTACGTCCAGTGGCGAATATATGTTTCAACATTATTTATTATGTTTGCCACCGTACCAATCCCATCTAACTCCATAATTCTACGCTGCTTAGCTCATAATATATATATATACACTACATGTATTTATATGTCTTAACCAATAACAATTTACTTAATATGTATAAATATTATAATACAGATCTGACTAACCGTTTCTCTGCTGGGAGGAGGAAGGCTTCTTTACGAATCCGTTTACATACCTTGCAATATACTTAATTGAAAACGTTTCTAGGCGCGAACGGACGCGACAGATGCGATAGTTTACCCTCGAGGGCTCGCACCACCAGCGAGAGTCATCCCTCGTCGATATTGAGTCATCCGAGGAGCACGCACTTCGTCTCCGCGCTGAGACCGCACTCCATGTACGCCCGAGGTCTTTCCTACTCGCCGCCGGTCACCTCGACGCCCATGAGCCCTACCTCCGGTGCCTATTCTACGGACTCAGCCGGTTCCTCTCTTTCCATGGACGACGGCGGCGAGAACGCGCTGGAGGAAGGAACCATATCGCGTTACGGACACTCATTAACACCCGAAGAGCCTGTCATACTGGAGGAGAATGGCGACGACTATGCGCCCTGGTCGATATCACGTTTGTCGCATCAGAAGTACTCGCCGAATTTTAAGTCGCATTCTCCTTCGCAGGTGGGTCGGCCCTCTGGTTGGTACATTACTTGCTGCAATTAGTACAAACCGAGTGAATGAATCGAACGATTATTATGAGTCAGTACCGACTATTCTTAGTACGCCAGTTCATATTTTGGCACCGGCTGACAACATTTCCTTGGTTCATACGCTCTCGAGAGAATTTTCTGTTATAAATAACTCCGCTTCGATAAGGAGTATTAGACGTTCCTATAATTTCGTGGATGAATCAGAGTAAACGTAGATCACAAGTTTAATCACATGAATCTGTTACACAGCGGATGTTCGAAAGACACGATTAATCCACTTCCATTATACATCGGCTATAAATATTAAAATTAATAGAATATTTCTTGTAATCGTTGGTACAATGATGGATGTACTAATTGATACCACATTTTCTATAAATAATTTTTACAATAATTCGTTAGTAGAAGTGATTCATATAACGTTTATTATTTGTTGAATTTATTTATTTATTTATTGTGTTCACAGCAAAGTTCCTACATGGAGATGTGCAGCCCGTGCGGATCGAGTCCGGGCCGAAGCGGAGCCTACATGCCGATGAACTCGGGTACGGGTCACTCGCATTCCCGAGCCTCCTCCCTCATCGAGGAATCCAACACCTTGTCCGAAGGTTACGTACCTATGGCGCCTATTGGAAACAACGGATACGTGGATATGGACCCCTCCCATAACCACAACGGACACTTCCCCGACGACCTCTCCCACGGTGGCAGTAGCTGCTCCGTCACTTCCGGTACACCCAGCACAGATTTACGTTTCTCTGAATATCACCTGGACAAGGTGATGAGTTACCTACCGCCTGGAGAGGATCTGCAAGCTCGACCCGCGAGAGCTTACTCAATTGGGTCTCGGCCGGAACCCGTCAACAGGCATCGCAAGAACAGGTTCGTAATTTTATTATTAGACTGCGGATTTTACGCAAACCTCTGTTTAATATTTCATATCGAGTGCTGATTGAGTAATTACTGTATTTGATTTTGTATGCAGATTGGATATCGCTCAGAAAGAAGCCAGTAGGGTGCGAGCGTTCTCCGTTGGTAGCAGATCAAAGAGGCCTGATATCGGTAGATTAGCAAACGTGATGGCCAATCCGTTACCCGTTGAAAGCTCGAGTGGCAACAAGTCGAACTCGGCTCCTTTACTATCGAGCTCTTGGGGCCACAATTCGGGTTGCTCCGTGAACTCGGAACGAATGGAGGATCTGATGGAGTTGGACTTTACGAAGCCTAATATCTTCAATTCCCCATTGTCGTCTTATTCCCAGTCGCAATCGCACTCGTACTCTACTGCCACCGACACCAGTTCCTACGTTGACATGTCGCCGGGGCAACCTCCGTCGTCGACCACTGCCGGTTACGTCGACATGAGCCGCATTAATAAGGTACCTTCTACTTCACATCAAAATTTACTCAACATTTTGCATGCTAATTAAAGCTCCCGGGCAAGTTGCAATTGTACGATCATGTTTGATTTTATGTCAAATAAGTAATTTTTATACGTCATCCGTTACACTTGTCCCTTTAATAAACTAAAGCTGAGATCTCTAATAATAATTCGTTACGAGTGACTATTCTATTTTTATATGAATCAGCCCTTAACGCTGACCGCACCTTCATTTCTAACACCTTTGTTGAAACGATTATTTGCAGATCAATCGTAACAACAATAACAATACGATCACTGCCAATCAGAATCATAGTCATGCTCACGTCTCGTCCTCGTCCTCCGCCGCTTCCGCGCATAAACCCGTGATTACGACCTTGAAACCGGTGGAGGAGGCGGAAGGTTCTTACATGAGAATGGACGGGGTGATAGAGGATTGGTCGCAATCCGACCCGAGCCCCAAGCAAATATCCTCGCCGATGCAAGAGGAGTGTGTGCAATCGAACGGACCGCCAGGTAACAAAATTTTTTTAAATATGTGCAACATTCTTTGTTTCCAATCATTTATTTTACTATACTTTCTTTCGGCCTTTCAAATATTTCTACAAACCGATTTATCGAGTGTCTAATTTTTAATAACAACGAAATATCATTTCTGTCTCAGGAGCCACGAGAACAGCCCCGGTGGATCTCCCGCGACGACCGCCGCCCGACTACGTCGACATGAATTTCAAGTCACGAACGAGCCTAGAACAAGATTACATAAACATGAACATGAGCCACCGGAATAACCGGAAAATAGTCACGCGGACCGATAGTCGAAAAGAGAAATTGCGCTCGCAACCCATCGCGATCCATGCCGGAAACAAGCCAATAAAGGCTCCCAGTTTCCTACCGCTGAACGGGAGCCCGGAATCTGAGAGTCTGGCGAGCACGCCGGCATCTCCTCCACGAGCGACTCCCACGGGCTCCTCCGCGACCATCTTCCCGTTCTCCTTAAACAGTCCGCAATCACCCGAAAAATCCTTTACCCATCAGAACAACGCTGAATCCTCTGAATCAAAAGTCGGCAACAATCATATCTTGGATTCCACGAATAGAGCCAACCCGATTAGTTCTAACGCGTTAACAGAGTCGAGGACCGCGAAATTGATCAACGATAGACCGTCTAGTCCCGGGAAGGATAATCAAGTCAACCGGTTAATATCCAATAACTCTTTAGCCTCGCCAGATAGCCTTTTAAACGCGGTCACGAAGAAATTCGCCGACTTGAGCTTGTCGAAACCGCGATTAATCACCGCGTCTCCGAATACCAGTCCTACTTTATCCGGTTTCAAGCCAGCTACCCTAGAGAAACGATCGGTGTCACCAAAATTAGAGGAGACGCCTACCCCGACGCCAACCGCCACTCCTAGCCCGTTAGAAAAAGAGTCCAACGTGGAAGCGTTGCATTACGCCAGCCTCGATCTACCCGAGTTCGGGAACACCGCACCGGTGTCACCGGCTTCGCAAGAAGGCTTCAATTACGCCGAGATCGATTTTGCGAAGCTTAAACAGAATTGAATATCCCATTTCGAATTAATGTTGGGCATCGAATAATCAGTACCCGATGAGAAATCAAGTCGAATTGGAAATAAGTGACAGATTTTGTTCTGATATTAAAACTTGAACGTTAAAGCAACCAAGATGCATACATCTATGCATATGAAATTTTATTGGACGAGGAAGGATATATTCTTTTAAATATAAATTTGCTTGACGTGATACATTATCTTACGGACGATTCTTCAATGACGTTAACGTGAACGGATTCACTTCGCAAGCGCTTGGGAATTTAATTATCGGATCCGGTGCGATGAGCGATCGCAATGATACATGTGTACATCGCGCGTTCTATTTGGCCTAATCGACGAATCGTTCTAACATTGGTCGGACCTTGCCAACGAAAGTTCTAGCCAAATACGAGACACGATATTTTATTGCGATGAAGATCGTTTTTAATCTTTTTATAAGAACGCCTTTTCCTCTTTTATGGATCACAATAATGATTTTCATGAATAGAGAATAATCCCTGAGTCATTATTTTGTTTAAACCATGAAACGTCGTTCGCCAATGTTGGTCCGACAGAAAATGTTCAAGAAGAACAACAACTACGTATCAAAGATAAACGCGTCATTCGCAAATTACATGAACGTTCTATATATTAAGCTTCTCCTCGTATCAATTTATAAATAGGCCGTGAAACTGCGCGTACATCAAATTTTCTAATAGTACAATCGACGTTATGTATTTTATTTCCCATGTACTACAGTCGTTTAATCTTGGACGTACACTTTATACATATTTTTTACAATGCGTTTTACTTGCATTTTGTAAATTCAAGTCCCATTTGTAAACGCAAAGAATTTCGCGGTCTAATCGATGAATTACCTTGATACATCTCACTATAATTTGTTATCACGCTGTTGTAAATATAATTAATGCATGCGCGCGTATCCGAAGGTACGCAGACACGGTCACACTGATTCGCATTTACAGGGTATACTGTAAAGGATACGAAACTAGAACGAGAAAGTTCGACGATTAAAAACTAATTAATTGATAGATCAGTCTTGAAACGAAGATTGTTGCTGAGAATGTTCCTCGGCGATATATCAGTTCGATTTTAAAACGGTATAACAGTTTTCCTCGCATAAATTTTAAGTATAATTAGAGCCTCGGTCGTGAATTATAATCATATCGTGTATATATACATACTTAATACGCGTTACCTAATTAATACGAGTTAAGCGGTAAAAAGAGTCTCTTCCTAATTACTTTCAATGTCGTTGTCTTTTCCTTTTTAATCTTTATATAATATGAGCAGGACGAAGTATTAATAAAGTGTGCGTAATATTCGTGTCCACATGCTTTATCTATATTTATATACAATGCATATTATACGGAGTTAAAATAATTGAAAGTACCATTCAGAGACTTTTTTTATTGTACGTGCGCGCGAAGAGATACTGAATCGAGAAGTTCTGTCCTCGCCTACTTTCTTTTTGAGAAAAGGAAATCGTTTCTTTTTACTAGCTCTCGTTTTCTTATCAATAAATTTCGTTTCAATTTTAAGGATGTATTGGCTATACAGTCAATCCCAAAAGTTTATTTACCTTAGAAAAACGCATTTCCTATAATTAAAAAGAAATCAGACGTCGGAAGAACAATGCTAATAATAAATAGTTANTGATTTCTTTTTAAAAAATGAGTTTCTAAAGTGCATAAACCTTTTGTAGTTGACTGTATAGCCAATACATCCTTAAGATAAAGTTTGGAAAGCTGTTCTGAAATTGTTTTAAACACGTGTGTGTTATCCTTTACGAAGGAAGTTTACGAATTTTAAAGTAATGTTTAATGACAGAATTTCTCGATTAAGCTGGTTTATACATGTGCTGGACGACTGAATAAAATTATGTAACAATTAATTATTGTTTTTATTGCGAAAACGTGTTTGAAATCTAATGAAATTGATTTGCGTTGAAATATTCATTAACTCATCCTGCATATGTATAACGATATACATACATATATATATATTTATATATGAACTATAAAATTTATGTTTATTAACGAAGTAAAGAAAATGTAAATCGCTCGTTCTTCAAATGGAAAATGCTTCACGCGATAAGGAAAAAAGCGACAAACAAATAAGCACACAGGCGTTGAATTGTATTAATAATAATTGTATAATAATGTTGTTGTAACAATGTACATTGTTTAAGATTTAAGATTATCGTTTTGACTGACACTAGTTGAAGTAAGTTTTTATTTAAAAACAGAAGGAAACAAGAAACAAAAACGATCGAAATACACGATACGCGAAATCGTTCTCTCCTCTTTTTTTTCTCTTACTTTTTTTTTCTCTCTTCTCCGTTGCAGATTTAACGATGTCCGTCCAAGTCGAAACAGACCGCGTTGTACAATAAATTCTGCCCTTTGGTCTCTTTTCCTAATGAAACGAGTTCTGTCTTTCTTCTTTTCCTCGTTGAAGACTTAACTCGTTAAAGTACGTAGTTTCTTCTTACGCAAATTATCCTTCTTAGAATTTCACCTTTCGTTTGTATCTCATTACTTCATGAAACTGTTTGAACGATTAATTGCATAAACGAAATTAGATCATTTTATTTTTGTATTTCACAGCTTCTTTGATTCGATTCAAAGGAACCAGCAACTTTGCCGAGCAACGTCGTATAATTTAAAATTAAACAGTAATTTTAGATTAAGTATCCCATAGGCTATTTTTTACGAAACAATATTTAACATATTTATTTCATTCGATTGAGTTCGCGACATCAGCGTCTTTAATACCAATTGCACGAATTGGATTGTTGAGTCTCGTTATTTTGGTAACTAAAACCTGAGAATATACAAATCGTTCTTTCCCGCATTATAATATCGACGGGAAAGGAATGATCGGACAAAAGTACATCAAGGAACATTTTTCGTTTAAAAATTGTATCAGCCAATTAATGCTAATTGATTAGGGAACGTTAATTAAATTTCTTAAACGTATAGGCGTACATTATAAACGAAGAACAAGAGGTGTATAAAGTGGATAAAATAATGTTGGCTTACTATATGTATGTACATATATTAATTTAAAATATAATACGTAATAATAAGTATTTTACTGAAAAATCAAATTTATTTATTTCAGCGTTTCGATGATCATTAGAAAAAGTCACCTTAGAACGTAGAACACCGTCGCTATTCATTTGCATAATTTCTCAATTCCTACATGAAAATTCAATTCAGAAAACGAACCAAGTATTGAGATTTGCGATTATACATAAATTTACGTAACTTTCAGAAACTTAAAATTATGATAACTGTGGGATTGGTATTTTACCTGTAAAATGTGTATGTTGTGTTTAACGTAGTCATATGTTTTATGGGATTACCTGGTAATAAAGGTCTACTAACGGAATAGACATTTTAAAAATAACGCTATAGGATTTTGGGAGAAAGATTCTTTGAGGGTAGTAAAAGTTAATGGACACCAATAAAAGAGACCAAAACTAATGAAGGCTATTTGACCGATCTTTCGAAGTCAGGTATACATTATCCCATACCCTGAATTTTATTTTATAAAGAGCAAGCGTTAGTTTAAAACTTAACTAACAATTTGGGGTACGTGGAGTGCCGAAACGGGGATACTGAGGGATACCATGGACCTGAAGGACGGAGCAGGGATCGCATAATTTTTCCCTCGGCCGGAAAGTGAGGACGACGCGACCATGGTGGGGTCTGGTACTTGATGGGGGTATGCTGGGCACAGGGATCGCATAATTTTTCCCTCTGCCGGAAAGTGAGGACGACGCGACCATGGTGGGGTCTGGTACTTAATGGGGGTATGCTAGGCATGGTCAGCGAAGGCGCATGAGAGGAATAGAAGTGGGGCTCGAAATACGGGCGAAAAAGAGGGGAAGTGAGCCGTGAGGGAAAAATTATGCGCACCCTGGTTGGGCATGGTCAGCGAAAGCGCATGAAGAGAATAGTAGTGGGGTTCGAAATACGACGAAAAAGAGGGGAAGCGAGCCGTGCGGAAAAAATTTTACTTGCGGTATTTTGTGTCAGAAGACGGAAGGGGTATCCGAGATGTCAGCCATTTTCTAGGAGCAACTAGTGGCGTTCTCTTCATGTAGCGTCCGTGCCCGCGTTCGCGTATCTCCATGGTAACGGCGATGTTAGCGTCATTGGCGTCTAGACAATGACATTTATCTATAACTATATATCTACATCTACACTTTACGATTCAAAGATATTGTTTAGGCTGTCGTTCGGGATTGGGGGTGCACTAAATCGTGGAAACGAAAAATTGAACCGCTCTCAAAGAAATAGGCCGGCGCAAGTTTATTTCTAAAAGGAAAAATCGTGTCCTTCACTACTTCAAGCAGAAAGCTGTAGATGTTAAAGCGTGGAGAGAACTTTCAGCAGGCAACTTTTATATACTTTCGTAATAGTGACAATGTTTTGAGACGGGACTAAGTAAATATAGAGCTTAGTAAGACGGTAGGCAGTTTAGTCAGGGATTTAGTACCGGGGTTTTTACTCCTTATTCTACTAACAAAGCATTTTATGCATTTATGTTTATTATTTTTACGACTGGAGCAATCGTAACGGGCTACCTTGTAAAATATCAGCTGACAAACCGAATTTAATGCGCACCGCGATATTCGTTCTTCGAGGGTGTCTCGTTAAACAAAATGGAGAAACATATATGATTGTGTTGCAGTTTTGTTGAGGGCGTTAATAATATGAGTTTATTATAATAATTATTAGTACACTAATTAAGGTTTAAGGCTAACGTTCCAAAGGGATTGCTCTGATTATTCTCTCGCTCGCTATATCTCGCCGTGACTCTTCACTACCACACTCTATCTATCTCTTGTTCTTACTCACTGACTACCTGTGCGTACATTACACCGAATCCTCGCATTCCTAATGCTCACACGCACGCGCAATGATTGTAACAATTGATATAAATGAAAGAAGTGTGATACGAATCGAGCTATATAGAAAGTTTATGAATGTATAACATCCAGAATATTTTTGAAAAACATTCGCCCCAGGAGACTTTTGTCTCCAAAAAAGTGTTTTCACCTCTACTATCCCCGTTCGGCAGTAAAAACATAAAACATGTCGATTGTGACGCCAGTTACCCCTGGCTCGTGCCGAAAGGGAGGAGAAGAGAAAACGAGGTAAGAAGTGAGGAAAATCGGTACCTGACGACGAAAATGAAAATTACTGTAGGATGGAGGATTTTCGGGGCGACTTAGACAAATTTGATTTCCCGTTGACTTTCAACGGGAACTCTACCAGTTTGACTTCAACTAAAGATAATATTGAATATTTTACTGGTAAATATTCTCGGCTCGAGGAACTCGCGGGAATTCCATAGTTCTGCGAAATCCGTACGCGTAAACCGATTTCAAGGGAATTGCACACGGCTAAAGCAACAACTTCCAGTTTCAAGAGTCGAGAGAATTTAATGAACGAGTTTCAGGATAATAGACTAGATTCCTCGAGTAACACCTTTTCATTTTCTACGTAACAGTATTTCCCTGAATTTTAATTTACTAAAATGAAAAACGAGACGGACTGAATACCATGATGCAATTTAAAACGTGGAAACACTATTAAGCATTGTATGGTTTCAAAGGTCCTTTGAGAAGAAACACGCGTGTGGTCCAAACAAATTGCGCGTCGTTTAATTGGCATGACGAGAACAAGGATCGTTATCAGCAAAGAAAAGAAGTCCTCCAAAAAGGGACTCGCTTTCCCATGTCCGTAATTCGATTCCTGCGGCGACCTGCACGAGAATGCGTGGGAACTCGCAACAAGAAGGATTTAAGAAGTGCTCCTTGTAATTTAATCTGAAGTTACGATCGCAATATTTTCGTCCTCTTTTCAAATCAACTGTTTCAGTTTCATGGAAAGAGATTCGATCAAAGGATAATTCAATCGAATGTAATATAAGGATTTATAAATCTAATCGAATTTCTCAAGTCCACACGTTATCAAAATTTGCAATATAAATAAATGAAAGAAGTGTGATACGAATCGAGCTATATAGAAAGTTTATGAATGTATAACATCCAGAATATTTTTGAAAAACATTCGCCCCAGGAGACTTTTGTCTCCAAAAAAGTGTTTTCACCTCTACTATCCCCGTTCGGCAGTAAAAACATAAAACATGTCGATTGTGACGCCAGTTACCCCTGGCTCGTGCCGAAAGGGAGGAGAAGAGAAAACGAGGTAAGAAGTGAGGAAAATCGGTACCTGACGACGAAAATGAAAATTACTGTAGGATGGAGGATTTTCGGGGCGACTTAGACAAATTTGATTTCCCGTTGACTTTCAACGGGAACTCTACCAGTTTGACTTCAACTAAAGATAATATTGAATATTTTACTGGTAAATATTCTCGGCTCGAGGAACTCGCGGGAATTCCATAGTTCTGCGAAATCCGTACGCGTAAACCGATTTCAAGGGAATTGCACACGGCTAAAGCAACAACTTCCAGTTTCAAGAGTCGAGAGAATTTAATGAACGAGTTTCAGGATAATAGA